CAAAAGATGTAAAGTTAAGAATACATAAATATCAAATCAGGTAGAAAGTAATATAAATATTGACTATTTAGAAAATAATGACTATGAGAATTCTAAAAGCTCAAATTTATGGGATGCATAAAGCCATTTCTACAAATATATTCATGGCTAAAAGTACCTTTATTATTAAAGAAACAATGTTTAAAATGAAGTATTCAATTTAGGAACTTAAAGGGTATCAGAAACAAAAGAAAAAGCATAAGGAAAATAAGCAAAGGAGAGATAATATAGGTAAAAGCAAGATGAAGTATTTGGCATTCTGAAAAGCAGTAGAATTGAGAAATAAATCTCAAAACTGGATACTTACTGGGGTGTTGGGAGGAGAGATAAATAGAAAAACCACTGGCAAGTAAAATTGAGGAACAAAAGGGACAGAAAACAAATATGCAAAATTTTAGATGGAATATATAACAGCAAATAAAAAACTTAAAATAAGTGATCTGTACTTTAAATCAATACATTTGAAAATCTCAGTGAAACATACAATTTTCTAGGAAATGTTTTTCCTAGAAAAACTGACTTAAAGGGAAATAGAAAATGTAAAAAGAAAAAAAAATATTACCAAAGAAAACTCTAGGCCTAGATGTTTTATGAGTATATTCTTCCAGAATTTCAAGGAATAAGTAATTCTCATGCTATCTATTCAATACTTTACGTAGCCTAGCTTTCCGATTCAACCATGAACTCTGGTACTAAAAATTAACAAAGATAGTACAAATAAAGAAAAACACAAACTAATCTCATTTATGATTACAGATGCAAAAATAACAACTGTAATATGAGCAAATAAAATTAGTCAGTACATTAAAATAAGACTACACCATGACTAATCAGGGTTTATTTCATCAGTAAATTTGGAAAACAAAAACCAAGAAGATATGCCATAAAATAAAATGCAATTTCTCATAGAAACTCCTAATAAACTATGACTAGAAGGTTTTTTTTAATAATAAAGAATGTCTTAAATATCTTAATACTTAGTGGTGAAATGTTAAAAACAATTCCATAAATTAAAAACTGCACAAAATACCTGCCATCACATGTATTACTTAGTATCATTCTTGATATTCTAGGCAGTGTAATATGAGAAGGGGTGAAAAAAAGGGCATATAACTGCCAAAAAAGAGAAAACATATCAGCTGAAATATGACTAGAGCTAATAAGTTCAATAAAGAGGACAGTTATAAAATGAACCAGCAAAATTCACTAGCATCCCTAAATATGGTAACAAAAAGAAAACAGAATGAAGAATATCTCATCCACAAGAGCAAGCAAAAATATTAAATATTATAGCAAAAACATCAAAAGAAACATGCAGAATCTATATTTAAAAAACAAATCATTGTTGAGGGACATAAAAGAATAAATAGAGGTACATAAAAGAAGAAATTTTGAATGAAAAGATTCATATATAAAGATGTCAATTCACCCTATAGTTTCATATACATATAATATAACCTTTCAAAAAATTATTTTGGGATTTTAATTGACAATGAAATTAAAGTAAAATAAACTTTAGAGAAGTATGCAAACACCTTAAAGAAAATTATGAATGTGGTCTTACAATATTTACTTTTCAAAGATACTATAGCACAATACTAATAAAAGTTTAGATAGATCAATAGACTAGAACCCAAAACTGAGAAATGGTTTCAAATTTGCAATCAGATGATAAAAGATGTTTTTTCAAGTCAGAAGAGATAAGATGGGTTTTTAATAAATAATACAGAGATATCGGGTTAATGGCTTAAGAAAAAAATTAAGTTGTATCTCTAGTTGAAATTACACATCAAAATATATTCAAGAGGAATTAAAGAGTTAAATGAATAAAAGTATAGTCAAAGAATTGGAACAAAATATAACAGAGTTGGGGAAGCCTTTCTAAACAAACCCCCAACATAAAAGAGCATTAAACAAAAACCATAAAGTAAAAGAAAATGATAAAATGTAACATATATGACAGAGAAAGGTTAATACCATTAAAATATACAGTAAGAGTCTTACAAAACCATAAGAACTAGACAAATCCTTTAATAAGAGAAATGGACAAATAACCTAAACAGGCAATTCACAAAAGAAGAGACATTTAATACAAATAAATTTATGTCAAATGCTTCATTCTCAATAATAACCAAAGAAAGTTAAATCAGCAGTAGTGTACCCTTTTCCCCTACTAAAACCAGCAAGAAATTTTTAAAGTAACAATACTTGTCATTGAGGGCAAGAGAATACTTGCAGATACTGTTGGTAAGAGTGGCACACTGTACCCTTTCTCCTGGGCAGTTTGGCAGTGTGAACCCAGACTTTTTAAAAAAGAACACATGCTTTGACCCAGGGACCTCACTTCTTAGGACTACATCCTAAGAAAATAACCACTAATTAATACCGAAAATCATTAAAAAGTTATCCATATTCAAGTTTTTCTTTACAATAACAAATAATAAAAAACTATTCAAATGTCGAATAAAAGACTCAGTTAAATTATGAGAACCTCACTTTATGCAATATTTTCTGTAAATAAAAATAGCGTTTTAGATGACTTAATCACAGAGAAATTCACAATATATCATTAAGTGGGAAGAATAGCTTATAAAAGGAGAGTAAAAGGATGGTTCTAATTTTAAGGAAAAAAAACTTTAATAAATACATGTATTAATTAAAATGGAAAGGACAAACAACATAATATAGGTAGAATTAATTAATTAATTAATTTTATTTTGTATTTCTATATTTTTTACACTAAATATGTAATGAGGGAAAAATAAGAGGTATGAAAAATGCACAGTGCTTGAGATATAAAATGCGGATAACCCACAATAGAATGTATTTCTTGGGGATAGTATTTAAACCACTCTAAAATTTCAGAATAATTATAACTAATTTAGGTGGATAATAACTAACTGGCCTGATCTCACCTAGACTAAAAATGCATGTTAAGTTTTGGCAGTGGTTGAATCAAGCTATCTGAGTACAACTTAAACTAAATTTCATGTCAGTTCTTATTTTATTATTGGTATGCTTTCTGTATAATACTTACGGTGACAAAAGACTAGGTTGTAAAAAGAGACAATTATGTAGAGTAAATCAAAATGAAAATTTTAATAAGAACCTTACCTCCTATGCTTATAAAACTGAGAGCAGCGCACAAAGTTCACATATCACATAAAGAATCCAGAAAAAAAGTGGAAGAATTTGAAAAGCCTAATTTTGTATGTGTTTTTGCTTTCAAGATTTAGACATTGTGACCATCTCAGGCTAGTACAGTTTTCACATTATAAATTCATAATCAGAATGAAAAATAAAGAAAGATGGAAAGGGGGCCAAGGGGGAGGAGATAACCCGAAGCATAAAAACTTGATGCTGAATCATAACATAATAAAATGTTAGCTTCCATGTTACTAAGAAAAAGCAAGACCCCCATCATTCATGCTGGCAAAAGCTTGCCTATGCACAAACCATTTCTGTTCTCACTGTTGTAAAACCAATGACTTTGGAAAGGACAGAAAACACAGAATGACGTGCAAAGTAGCACACAACATGTTATTGCAGCTGGATAGAGAATATGTCACTAATGACTTTCTTTCTACCCGTCAGTTATAAGTTAAATTTTTTTCCCCCAAAATAGCAAATGGCCTTTATGAGTGCAGCACAGAAGCAGTGAGATTCAAAATAATATCCAATTTCCACTTAATTTTAATAGTATATTAGTTAATGGAATGAGTTATTAAGCATTTCCTGGGAAAGAGATGACTTCCTTTTGTCTTCATTTGAATTGAACACACCATCCCTGAACACTAGACAATTTTCTGCAATAAATTAAAAATAACATTTTCACCAGATAGTAATTGCCAGATGTTTATCTTAAATGAGACATTATCCATGACCAATAGAAAGATTCTCCTGAAGTTGTTTGTAACTTCAGAAAACTAATGTAAATTCCCAAATTGTTAGTGCAAATCAGAGTGAAAAGTGTCTCTCTATAAGAGACAACTGATAGAAATAATGACCATGGATTCTATTCATGATACCAAAACTAGTAATACAGTACTTCTTCTCCACAAAAGCATCAACAAGAGAGATTTAGGGAAGAAGAAGAACTTCCTGACTGATAAGGAAACTTAATTTTGTAATGGTTCTTAACATGTTTCAAAATAATAGCATCAATCACACATCTTCAGAACTAAAGATGCTCATCCTCATCAGGGTCAGAGGTCATGAAAAGTTAAATCCTATGAAATCTGCTTGAGATTAATCAACGTATGATCCTATGGTTATCTTAATAAAAACAGTGACCACAATTTAACCTCATGAGTGTTTTCTAAGTGCCAGGAATTGTTCTAAAAGCTTTACTTATATTAATCCTCTTAATGAGCCTATGAGGTAGAAACTCTCACTCTCCCATTTTAGACACAAGGAATTTGAAACATAGAAAACTTCAGTGACTTGCCCAAAGTCACTCAGCTAGTAAGTGACAGAGCCAGGACTTGAAAAAGGTAACCAAGCCTCAGAATCCACCCATAAACTATTATGTACAACCACATTCTATAACCTTGTTTTTATAGGTGCTACCCTTGACCCTTTTTGACCAGAAGAAATTCAAATTAATGATTTGAATTCATAAATTAAGACATTATTATGATTTCAAGAGGAAAGACTAAAATTATCTTTAACTTAATTTGCTCTTCATCCTTTGACATTTGTTTCTTTTTCATACCTTTCTGTTAAGTAAATTAATGAAGCAATTTATCTTATAATTTATATGTTTATAGACTAATAAAAAGAGAAGGAAAAATTTCATTCTCTAAACATTATAAAGAATAAAAGTTCAAGGACACACTATATATTTACCCTCCATATATAAACAAATGTTAGAAGTAATTAGGGTACAGAGATCAGCAAGCATGTTGTTATACAAAATAACATTCTCTCCACTGACATGTTTGATATTTCATATAGTGTACCTTTAATTTCTCCAAGAAGTTCACTGGTATTTAGTCTTTCCATTTTTTCCTTCCAATCTTTTGAAAGTAGTTTTTCCATGCAGGAGGAATCTATTAGAGTAAATAATAACACGTATTAAAAATATTACATATGTATTTTTAAGTATTAAAATATTACAAATCAAAAAGCCAGTTTATGGAGAAACTCTCTTATTTAAAAATGATCAAAGCTATTTTTCATTGTTGTTTTAACCCTAGGATACAGACAATTATATTACTGTATCTATCACAAAATACCACAACTAAATTTATTTTTACCAGAAGATTATTTGAACTATTCCCAGGAAAAAAGATAACGCTTAATAATTTTATCTTGGTATTATAAATATAATTCTATTAATATTCAGTCGCATTTATCATTTCTTAGACTGACAGGACAGAAAAGGGGGCTCTTTCCTATGATAGGTTTAAGTTTAGATTTTGTTCCTTTTAATCCAGGTGATTTTTTTTTAAGTCTAAGCAAAATTCAGTGCTCTTCAAGGAAGAATGACAAATCTTCAAGGGAGAAGAAACCAAAGTGTAAACACTTAGTCCTTAAGAAAAGAAATAATATATGGCAACTTTTGTAAAATACCCACTTAGAGAAAAATTCAAAGAAAATAAAGTCAAGATGTTCTCTGTACCTCGGTAATAAAAACTACTGAAAGTTTTCTCTTATATAGAAAGGGATATATAGTCTTATAAAGGAAATACTAAGTTAACACTACTTGCCCTATTGCATATCCAAGTAACATACTAAATTATAGAGAGTGATTCTAGTTATTTCTATAAAGATTCACAAAGGTTATAGAAACTTAAATTTTACAATGTCCTAATAATTAGCAAATTTTTCTCAATGAGTTATTTTTTTGTCTCTATTCAGATGGGTTTGCAACTAGAGCTACTGCTTACAACTCTTTATACATATCTGTTAAACTTCAAATCTTAACAAATAAGCCATGCTTCCAAAAGGGAATGCAGATTTAAATACTAAATCCTCAGTGCAAAGCATACTCCCATTAAACTTTAACATTCCAAGTGTCAAAATTCTGATAACTTCTTTTTAAAATTATATTTAAAATAGTTATGCCAATTCCAAATGCTTTTCTTCTCCCATATCAGTACCTATCTCTTTAGCATTTTCCCTTTCATTTTTTTTTTCTCCAACTTCTAAATCCTCCTTGAATTTTTCAGAATGACATTAAGGTCAAGATGGATCTAAAGGGTTTTAGAAACTAGATAAGCTTTAGAAAAAGATGGTGAGCCCTGGGTAAGAGATGAGAAGACCATTGCATCGTTAGAAAGTATTGGTGAGAACAATTAACATTTGTCCGTGACATGATCAATCAATCAAGGAATGGATGGAATCCAGATCAGTGTGTCGTGAAATGGCTGACGAAGAACACCAACCATACTAGCTCTCTATCACAGAAGCTAAAGTTCTTTCTAAATAGAAGTCAGCTTGATTCTATTAAGTGAAATCTCACTGCCTGTTCCCTTCCTTCTTCCCTCTATCTTTCCTTCCTCCTTTTCTTCTATTCTTTCCTATTAATTATTTTTTTAGGCTTCAACAAGTGATCTACTACCATAATTAAAAACTGGATACTGAGTGATCTTCCAAAAGGACCTATGTGCATATGCATACATCAGTTTGCATTTAATTTCCAAAATGGTCTCGTGCTACTTTTATTTTAAATTCAGAAACAAGGTATGTACTTTGTTCTATACATATTTTGCTTTTATGCTAAAGTAATAAAAATGATAAGACTAAATTGGGGAGTTAAGAAGTAAATCCTCAAAGCCATGCCTAACAGAGATTAGTTTTTCCCAAATCAGGTTTCAATTTCTGAGAGAGATCGATACAACAGCAGATCATGGATAAGAATAATCAACAAAATGTCTTCAAGTTCCTATCTTACCCAGTTTTGTTAGTGCTTTTTCTTTTAACCCTTTCATACATGTTGTAACATTGCATTAAACTGATAATCACTGATATAAATGCTAAAGCATAATTTGTTTGGTTCAAATTTGAGTTGAGAGCATATATTATAATAGTAAAAGACAAAAGCCCAATTTACTAGTAATGATCACAAATTCAGAGCAAGTTCATAAACTAGGATTAGATACACACTAAATGTAAAACAGGCTAAAATATGTCTCTCATTTCTATAAATAGACCTGAAATCTTTCAGAGCTCCAGGAAAAGAATGCTGAAGCTTCATGGGAGAAAAATAGAACTGTATGGACAACAGGAACACACACTTCAAACATAAATCAGACCATGTGTACACAGCTTCACATAAAAGCTACTCATTAATAAAATGGTTAATTACATCAAAGCATTTCACATTCCTATTAAAAAATTAATCCTCACCATAATGCTGAGTTAATCTAGTTAATACAAGTTCCCATTTCGGTAGAAGAAACTGAGGGGAAAAAAAATAAAGCAGGCTTTCCTTGTCTATATTTATAACTCATGAAAATATTTAATAACAATCACTGACTGCCTTTAACTACAGGACAATAGAAGTCATTGCCTACAGCCTTACCAATTTAATCTCAATTCTAAGAGACTCCAGGAGGATTCAAAACTCAGGAAGTCTCTTGAAAAACTCTCAGCTTTCTCACCTAATTATCTGACTGCCAAACCTCAAAGGGCATGCCACAATTAGTGTTAAGCATGCTCCATACTATAATGGGAAACAAGATGAGGGGAGAAAGGCCAGATGATACAGACTGTTAACAAGTACCACACAGGTGAAGGACACCACTGCCACCACCGACAGGTTTCTGACTTGGAATGAGGAAATATGTAATAGATAAAGTTGTAAATGAAAATTTATATTTTCAGATTTCCCACTCAACAATATCCAGCTAAGGGTGCAAATTAAAAGCAAGTATTCATCCTCTGTGTGGCACATCCCTCAACTACATTAACAGGACACTAGCGTAGAGAGGTAATTGATCGGATCAGACTTTACTCCATTCTGATCATGCACAAATGCAAAAACCAAAGAGGTCAGAATAAGGTAAGAAGCCCAGTTTGTATTATGTACACGGGAATGAGTAGTCATGGAGGATTCCAAATGGAATAAAAGGACTGAACATCACTTAGATATTCTTGGATTATTTTATACAGAAAATTGAGTTTTAGACAACTGACTTGAAAACAACTAATATACTTACAGTAGTTCCGCAGTTCCCAAAACATGAAATAATATATACATATTTTACTATCTGAGTTTGATTATTCAAATTTTAGTATTTTGACTGAGTTGTCTTTAGCTAAAAAAATAGGAGAGGAACTACATACTTTTTGGAAATTAAGTGAAAGAACCACAACATTCCGAGATTTAAAAAAAAAATGTCACCATGATATGTACACATTAAAAAGAATGTAAGCCATTATATTTCAGCATAAAAGTGGAAAATGCCTAATTTAATTCATCTTACTTTGAAAGAAGTAGTGTCCATAAACTAATACATATTCAGTGCAATGCAGGACTTTATTATATTTATCTTGTCTAAGTTTTGTAAAGTGATCAAAACAAGACTCAAAAATCAAGAGCTGGACTTCAATTCTTGCTTATATTTTAATCAAGGATATAAAAGGTTTTGACATGTTAAAATTAATTCTCAGCCACATAGTTTTTGGGTTTTCTCTTTTCCTTTGCAATTTAAGTTTTTCAAGAAACGTTTTCTAAAGAAAAAAGTAAAAACACAATTCAGAGATAATTTTTAATAAATATCCTGCATAATGGATTGCAAAGCAACGTTTCTGCTTCCTAAGTATCTAGTTTTCAGGCCAGGTGAGTCAAGAATGTTTTATTATGCTAACAATTAATTTCACCGTACAAGAGAAATTTGAAGCAAGAGTATGTGAGATATTTATTTCCTAACCTGTATGATAATATTTTAGGAACAATTTTAGATTATTCCTAATTAAACAAAGCCACAGCAGCATTAACTCCTATTCTGCACATTATTTAAAATGTGTCAAAGAGGGCAAATAAATAAATCATTGATAAAACTAAAGCATGGGGGAATAGGAAAGAATAACGGGAAATATTTTTAGGACACAGGTACTTTAAAACAATTCACCTGTGAGTAAACACTATTCCTTTTGCCTCAAAGTGATAAAGTTATAAATGCTAAAACATTAGAAACATGACATGAAAAATATCTTTAAAATATTTTAGGAGGAAAAACAATGACTGCTACCCCAGTATGCAAATTTCCTCCTGCTTTATTAACTCTTTTAAGAGAATATTAAGTCAATTCCTTTTATTTTTACCATAAGAATCATACATTTCAAATGCAATAAATCTTCTATGTATTCAAGAACAATGATAACTTATCAAAAGTACCTTGACCTTGGTTTACAACTAGTTCTGACTCTACATGTATTTATACTCCTGCTGCTCATCCATCCCACATTTTTCATTAGGAAACAGACGCACATGCCAGTTACTGTACATTTTTCCACAGTGACAAGTGCTCCACAATACAGTGGGATAAAATTGGAGCTTGGAGAGCTTGAAGAGCACTCTTAAATTTTAATTAAAACCCTCCAAGCTCACTAAAAATAATTAGACACTAAAATGTGCCAGTTTTATTTTGAAGTCACTATAACGTACAAAGCACACTCCCTGACGACTGCTCATGCTGTCCTTCTCTCTCTCTCTCGCTCGCTCTCTCTCTCCCCCTCTCTCCAATGAAACAACTGATCTTCCAAATACGAATAAGGGGGTATAAATAGAGGCTGTTTCAGGCCTGCTCTTCATGCTGGGAAGCTGGCAGAAAAGACTGCAGAATGGGTTTTTCAGACTGCACCAAATGAACCTAGAATAACTTGCCTAACAGAGAGTTCGAATCACTGACAAACTCTGGATAAAATTCAGTCTGCAAGAAACACGAGTTATATCACTGATCTTTTTTGATCCAAAAGCCAAACCTTTAACCTCTTAAATGTTTTTGCTATCTTAAAATATCTCATACAATGCTATATTCCATCCTATTTTTAGCCAAGCAGCAAGAGAAAGCATGCCTTTCCCATACAGCAGGGCAATGAT